TCATTTATTCTATGCAAAAGCGCGGCAATTTACTTGTCATTGTTGTCACTATACGTTCTAACAATATAAAACATATATAAAGAATTACAACTATAAAATATTTTTAAAAAATAATCAATTATATAAACATGATATCAAGACGCGATAAAAAAATGAGTTTGATACATACCTGCGTGAATTTTATTCAATTCCTAATTCCCCACGAGGAGGTAAACGCGAAAACGGCTCTACTTTGTTACAGACCGTTCTACACTGGTTCGAGGTGCTTCGTATAGTGTTCTGCGAAGCTGTATTCGTGTGACAAGAGGCAAAGATGAAAAGTAAGAAGGAAAGAGAACAAGAGATAGAGATAGAGAGATTGTTTTCTTCTCACTCTGTTTCGTGAGATGGATGGAGAAGTGAGTACACGTCGACGCGATCGTTTCGACGATAAAGAGAATTGGTGGGGATATTCGTCTTGGTTATGTTCTGCAGCGCCGGCGCTGCATCGACCCATCCCACACTACCGATGTGCATTCGTTTCATAAAACTTTCAAAGTATTTGTTTATTTTTCCATTTTTATACTTCATATTCATATTCACATTCATGTTGCTTTATTTAATAAAACTTTTTGAAGATTATTATAAGATTAATTTATATTTGCCTATATAATATTAAAATTGTATATACGTTTATACATACTATATATATATTATATATTATATTAATATATTAATTTCTTATATAATTTCTTTGTAAAACATTACTACGATTATGAAAATACATTGTTCTTTTTCAAGTAATATTTCGAGATACTTTCGTAGTTAAAATAATGTATTATTTTCTCAGTGAAATTATTGAAGAAAAAAAAAATATTAAATATTGTTATTAAAACATTATATATCATGATAAACAAAATATTTACTATATCTATGTATATATATATATTTTTACATATAAATATTTTCATATGTAATAGTGAAAATAAAAAATAAAAACAATATATATATATATATTTATTTCTTTGATATTTGAATAATAATATTTCAATCAATATTTTCATATATTTATAAATTTATAAAAGAAACTTACCTTCCATTGTTATACCAGGTCGAATAAGTTGTCTGCGGTGAAAACGAAGTAATTGGTGAATTTGTAGAACTAGTATTTACGATTGATTTCGAAGATGAAAGCGAAATATCACTTTCCAATGAATACAATTTATGACATTCTTTGCTAGGTGAAGAATGCCAAGAATATCTCATTTTTTGACATGAAATATTATAATCAGGACTCGAACTTGGAGAATTTGAAACACTTTTCGGACTCTTTGGATTCTTTAAAGTTCCTGAACTAAATACTCGAACCAATTTAAATCTTAAAGAATTCTTTTTGTTTTTCATTACACGATTATTAATAGTATTTAATATTTTTTCATCACAAGAATTGAAATTATTTTCCATTGTAATTAGAAACTTAACAAAAATAAAAACAACTTACTTTCACGAATTATCGAAACGAAATGCAAATATTTTTAGTTGAAAACTATATAAAATTTTGAATATGGTTTTATTTCCTGGCATTTTTAACCGCATCCTTCCTTATTCTTATCAAATACTTATCTAAATTCATTTGAAATGGATTTTAATAATGTTTTATAATACTACAATTAAATGTTTGCAATTATTTATTTTATTTCCATTCATATTTTTTGAATAGAATTTTTCAAATTTTACTATTGACACTATTTTCTCCTTTGTGTAATTAATACAATCTTTTAATACCAGTAAAATTTAGATTCAAATTATTGGCAAGGCGTATCTCTTTATTGCCTTTTTGTACTTTGACGTATTTTTGATGTTAAAAAACTCGTTCTCTGTTAATACAGAGAAAATGAATATTACAAATTCATTGTCGAATCTGTATTTTCATATTCTTGCATTACAATTTAATACTTCATTGAACGATTTTAACAGTTCATAAATAAATAATAGTGCACAATCTACATATGGCTCAGCCATCGCGAGAGAGCACCAAAATATCTTCAATGATAAAGCAGAGTTGATTCTAGATAATTCTAGTTCAACTCCTGTCAATGTACATAATTACATGCATGATACACCTACTTATAATTAATAAGTTGTCACTATTCAGACTTTGTAAACGCTCGAGTACCAGACGGAGAATCAATGAATGAGTCAAATGAAATGTATGCGGGGTATCCATGAGGTTTGAAATGATAATTAGTACTAAATCCTCTTTACCCGCTGTACACGTCTAGCGTGCTTTATCACTTTTGAAAGATATTAAACTTATTTTGAAGCTTGTTCGATATATGCAATTAAATCAGCACGTTCTTGCGGTTTCTTCAAACCAGCAAACACCATTTTTGTACCAGGAATGTATTTTTTTGGATTTTCAAGGTATTCGAATAAAGTGTCCTTATTCCAAGTAATACCTAAAATAATATTCATAATATAGCTTAAATATTTTTAAAAAATTGTATATTGTAAATATTAAAAAATATTTTAATAAAAGATATTCCTTTATTTACCTTTTTGTTTATTCGCATCTGTATAGCTATAACCAGGTGCTTGACCAGTTTTCCTACCATATACTCCATAAAGATTAGGTCCTACTTTATGTTTACCACCAGATTCAATTGTATGACATTGTGCACATTTTTGTATAAAGATCTAATAAAAAAAGAATCTAATGTGAAATAGTGAAATACAAATAAATATTAAATTAATATAAAATAATAAATAAAATTATTAAAATAAATAATATATTAATTTTTCAAATATAAAATAAAAATCTTGAAAATCAATGTATCAACTTTGTATCACATGTATCAACTTTTATATATATCACGAGATCAAAATTTTATACGCGTTTTCGAATAAAAATTTATATTTACAAAATTGTTTAAATATATTCAAAATTAAATAATTAAGAATAATATTAAATAGTAATAGAAAATAACAATGCCAAATATTAAAATTATATATTTTTCACTTTTACCTTCTTTCCTTTTTCTGGATCACCAGCAGGAATACCCATTCTTTTCTAATCTGAATAAAATTTATCACATGTAAATTTTTAAAATATAAATAAAATATTAAAAATTTTTTTTTAATTTTTTGTGTTTATAAGATACATTTTTAAATTTTGATTCGTTATTTCATGTTACGTAAGCATGAGACACGTGAACAAAAATTAGATTTCGTAATATTATTGCACAAGAAATATATATGTATTAAACTATAAAATTCAATAATTTTACTATTATGTATCATGAATTAATGCATATTTCATTTTCTGTTCAATATATGTCAAATAAATTCGATACATAAAACGATAAAAGAAAACGCTATAATTGAAAATTTATTAACATATAATTAGTAATTAAAACTAAAAAAAAGCATAATATAATAAGAAAATATTATATATTATAATATAAAAATATTCAATTTTAAAAATACTATGACATTGACATATATAGAATTCGTCTAAAGGTCAAATATACTATTTGAATGCAACAATTCAATCTAATATAAAATTTTTATACATTAATATCTGATACATAAAATTTCATTCTATATTTCATTTTTTATTTATATTAAAAATATAATATTAAAAATTTTAATACATTTTTACCATAAATATATATCGAACATAACTATTAACATAACTATTAAATATAAAAAAAAATTTATACAATAAAGATATTATTTTACATAAATAAATAATATATAGATGATATAATATTTTACAATACTTTATAACTTTACTTTATAACTTTTTTAAAAAATATAAAATACTAAAATGTGAATTTTATAAAAAAATATAACATAATTAAAAATTTATAACCAAATCTATTGATATATCTTTCTATAGTTTTGCAAATTGCAATTAAAATAATAGTTATTAAAAATAAGAAATTTTATTAAAAAATTTAGAATTTTTAATGAAAATATAATAGAAGTTCAATGATGAATATATTACGTAACACATTGATTTTGTATTTGAATAAAATAATTGGAGATTAATGTAAAAATATAATAAAAATTATTACAATTTCATTAACTATGGGTTCTCAAGAACTATAATTCAATTGCACGTGTATAAACGCAATGAATTAAAATTTTTAATTAAATGATTTAATGATTTATGCAATTTTTCAAAAAATCCATAAGAAATATTAATTTAATAAGAACAATGAATAAATTAATCAATATTTTAGAATATTGTTTAAAAAAAAAAGAAAATCGAACTTACTTTAAGTGATTAACACTCGCGCGAGAAAAATTTTACAGACGTTTATAGCCTGACCGTGAATAGATGCTTCGATCGATGTATAACCACTGATTTCCTCTGAGCATGAATTCAGCGTATTTTAATGGCTGATGCAACAGTTTATGGATATTCGAAATGTTTTCCTAGAGGGCGCTTAAATAAAATTTTAAGAGATTCTTCTTTGATTGGTTAAATAATTTGTGTAAAATTTAAATTTGATTGAAATTAATTTTTATTATATTTAAATGACCATAGATAAATAATAAAATTTATATATTTATAAATTACAAATTAAATCATGTTTGATAATTAATTAAATGAAACATATTTTTTCTTATATAATATTATATAATTTTATTGAATCGCATATGATAAAATATTATAAATTCATTATAAAATTAAAATTTTGTTTTTTTTATTTATATATCTATTTTATAATTTATAAAAATAGTGTCAATTTAGAAATAAAATATGTATAATTACATTATATTTCATTAATAATAACTTTATTGATATATATTAAAGTGAATAATTTAAATTAGATTGGTTTTCTTATCTAGAGATTTAGTCGAACATATTCTATGATTTTTACACGCGTGCAAGCATTATTAACGAGAATTGTAAATATGAAACAGATACGAATTTGATCTTTTCTGTGAAAGGTAAAAGACAAGAAGTCATGGTAAATGTCACGAAAGGAATTTTAGTTGAATGGTATGTATATAAAATAAAAAGTTAAAATAAAATTTTAAATATTTCTATTCTTTGTAATTTATTCTTTGTAATCTAAATCATCAGGAATGTTGAATTGTTTATTAAGATATCCTTCGGATATGTCAAATTTGTTTTTACACCAACTTTGAATAGCAAAAATATTATCCGTCCATTTATTAGTAGCTTCTTTATATTCCTGAAAAATAAAAATTAATCAATAAAAGTTTAAAATTTTTAATCTTAATTTTTACAACCTTTGCTTTTTCTACGAGTTTAGCTATAACTTCTGGGTCAGCATCACTGAATTTAGTTATTTGTTTTTTCAATTGATCTTCTTTGGCCTTTAATTCTTCTAATTCATGTAATAAAATTTGCCTTTCCTCTGTATCTTCTTTTCCTATCTATATATTTTATTGCAGTAATAAGAAGTATTAAATGAATAGAATCTTTAAATATTTTAATTTTATATTAACTAATTTTTTATAATATTTCATTCTATTATTACCTTTTCTTTTTCACAAGCTTCTTTAAGTTTTTGAAGTTTAAATTCTGCTTCTACTATTTTTTTTGAGGCTTCAGATATTCTTTGTTCTATTGCAGTAATATTTTCTCTGCATAATATATTTATTAATTATTTTAATATTGTATTATTAAAAATATAAATATATAAAATTATATATTTTGTTCCTACCCTGGAAAAGTCCAGAAATATACAGAAGTACCAATCTTTTCTGATCTAACTAATCCATCATCTACTAGAGTTTGAAGTACATCTTTTACTGATTGTGCAATAATACCTTTTTCTTTAGGTGCAATTTTTTCTAATTCTTTTAAAGTAAAAAATTCTTTTTTTTCATAAAATAAATGAAGCATTCTTATACGCTTCTCATCAAGAGTTAATCCTTTCCGCTTAGACATTTTATTTAAATAACTATAATAAAATAGCAAATATTAAAAAAAATTATTTGTTGTAATTACAGTGATGCTGCTATGAAGCAATTTCTTTTACATTTAGATGAGACATTTGCTTTGGGACGAAAATTTATTATTCAAGATTTAGATGAAAGACATTTGTTTATTTCTGCTGATATCTTAGACACCTTACAGACAAAAGTAGATGATCTTATGGATCAAATATCATTTCCTTTAGCAGAGAAAGGAATATAAATATTAAAAAATGTTTTTCTTTACAATATATCATAAAATAGTTTAAGAAATTATATATTCATTGTAAAGTAATCAAAAATGGCTGCACGTGAATCTGGTAGAATAAAAGATGCTTATCAAAAAAGAGTGCTTGATGAAGCTGCTCGTAAACGCAGACAAAAGAAAGCATTGGAAGCTTTGGAACAAGATAATTTTCACGATGATCCGCATGCTGATTTAGGTATATTAAATATTTTCTGCAATTCATTTATAAATCCAAATATTATACTTTTCTAATATTTTACAAGTATTATAATTCTTTCAGTAATGAGTAAAAAAGTTCCAAAATTTCAAGAAACTTTAGATAATAGAGGTGGTAGAAGAAAAAAAACTAGATCAGCAGAGTATTATAAGCAACGATTTCGTAAAACATTTGCTCAATTAGTAGAAGAAGATCTTAACATTAATCCAAATCCTCCTAATTATGCATCTGCTCAAGCACCAGTATCAAGATTTCCTGAACGACAATTTTGTGCAGTTTGCGGATTCCCTAGTAATTACACATGTATTCCTTGTGGTGCTAGATATTGTAGTATGAAATGTTTAGGTACTCATCTTGATACAAGATGTTTAAAATGGACAGCTTAAGAAGTGTAAAATTGTTATGAAGTTAATATGTATTCACAGTATTAAATAAAATTAAATAATTAATAATAAATAATAATAATAATAAACAAAATTAAATACTTATTTTTTCTATTATAAATGTAATAAGTCTAATATGTGTAAAGAAAAAAACGTTAATAAAATTGTATACTTATACTTTTAATATTTTGTATTTTTTTATATATTAATTTTTTTAATATATAAAATAATATGTTTATAATTAAATACTATCAAAAAAGATTAATGAAATTTTTTTATTCTTCATTTGATTATTTTGCAATATATTCTATATGCAATAGAAAAATGAAAAATTACTATTCACAAAGCTATTATTATTAATTCTTTTAAAACTTACCCGTTACAATATGTACCATTTAATAGAAATAATTAAATTTTTTTAATATCATTAAATAACACTGTATATTTCTTGTTGCTATGTCGTATTTACAATAACAATTATATTTAAGTCAAATAGAATAAACTTTATCTTATAATAATATTATTATACAAAAAACTAATTCCTAAATAAAATATTTAGATTATGCTCAGTTAAGTAAAAATACAAAATAAAAAAATGGAATGATATTATAATATCAAAAATTGCTGTTTCAATCAACGAACTAAGGAATATGAAAGGCCGAAATTAAAGCGGGAACGATTTTCATTTTATAAAAACAATAGCCCTCTAGTGGAACTTAGAAGAATCTTCATACTGTGACGAAAGAGACAGCAATAGAAAAGTAGAAAAACGTCTAGTGGAAGGACGTATGATCGTTTATAATTATGTGAAGTTTAAATTCGTGAATGTAATATTTGTTCCGCCTAATACACGGACGGATTAGAACGAAATTGCTACGTGAAAGTGTTACATATTCGAGTATATCTTATTGTGTTGTGGACTGGTTATTGTATAGGTTATAATAATACATAGGCATGTAAAATGTCATAGATATAACAATTGTAAAAGAAGAGTGGCTAATAAATTATTCTCCTGTTATTTCCAATAAATGTACGTATGCCTTATATGAGTTGTATTTTATGATTCTTTCGTATGTTCAAAATATTGATTCCTGTTATAAATTTCCCCGTATTAATTAATGAATGTGTTAATACCTTAATGTAGATATAGTTAATCAGGTAGAAAATTGTTCAAATTTAATTTAATTATACAAATACTGTCTTTGCTAATATTGCAGTTTCAAAAGACGAACGAATATCCCGATTTGTTGGTAAAAGCGCGAATTTAGAACATTCAGTTTTCGCAAACACATTCTGCCCTCTACCGATCTAGACGAGTACCTTAATACGATGTTTTAAGTATCGCGCGAAATGTTTGTTCCAAATTATTTTGATTTTCGATCATTTAACAAAGTATTGAGAGGCTGCATCTATATATATATGAGTATATATATATATGTCATTCAGTGTGATGTGAATTTTCCTGTGATACGATTAATCCGAAATTTTTAATTGCGGATTTTCGAATGAGAAAGAATAGGTAATCGAAGGTAACATTTATTTTAAGAATGAAGTTATCGATACAGTAGTACAATAGAATTTTTATTAAATAAATAAAAAAAAAAATAAGACATTTGGAAGATTTTTTAAACATCGATGCATGTTTTATATAATAATATATTTTTCATCTTTAGAAATATTAATATTTATATTATCATTGAATCATAATAAAATAAAATAAAATTAAAATTTGGTACCAAAAATATGTAAAATATGTAAAATGTAAATAATAAATTATTTTTGTATAATCTTTCTTTAAAAATTTATTTTTATAATTTTATATATTTAATTTACAATTATAGAACATATATTAAAATTTCTTCTAAAAAAATTCGAATTTTATTTGTATTCTCTATATTATTTGAAAAATGGATAATATAATATATTTCAAAATATTATATTAAAATATAAATAAAAACGTCTTACTTTTAATTGAAATGTCTTTTGAAGAAGATCATTCAATTATTTTAATTATACTTTAATAATATCGTAATCTATAAGTAGATGCAATATATTCTGTCTCTACTATGTTGAGCTTCTTCATCAATTGAAATTTGTATTTATAGACGGAAATAAGACAGCCGAAGATAATTAGATAAGTTTCGATGACTAACTACTGGTGGCTAAGGTGGATATTGCAGCGAAGATAAGATCTTTGCGAATCGTGCAACTCTTTAATTGCAGAAGTAATTACTGCATACCATTCAGTGCAATAACGATGACGACCTTAGACTCACAGACCGATAAAACTTTAAGCAATCTTGATAAGCTTTCTAACACGGAGCTAGCTGAAATTCCATCCGATCATGGACTTCCTGTTGGAATAAGCCCGTTGGAATCTCGGGTAGCCGGACATCCGTCGTTAGACATCGAACGGCAGACGATTGGTAAGCACCTGATCGAATTAAATGCCGCGGAAAATGAAAGATTATTGAGAAAATAATTTTATTCGACTATTTTAATATTTCATAATTTGATAAAAAAAAAAAAAAACAACGATACAATACGCTTTATTGATTTTTTCTTTCTAAAGAAATAATTTCGATTATTTTTAGAAGAATACCCTATATATTCAGTGCAATAACGATACTTACTTTACTTTAATAAGTAAACGATAATTATTTTTTTATTATATTAAAATAAAGAAGAAATAATATATATATAAAAGAAACTATTTTTATTATTAAATCGAATTAAATTGTATTTTTAAAAACTCAATTATAAAATTCCGATGTCTCGTATAAGGATCCGTGATGAATCTATATATTCTCACTATTTATTCCATATTCCTTATTACTATTCTACACTCATTTAAAATTCTACATTCATATGATATATATTTTTTTTATCTTTATTATTATGTCACGATTGATGTAATAAAAACATTAATAAATGTTGTAGGCATGTTACGTAGATCAGACGGCCGTGTATATAAACCTGTTGTTAAACCGTTACTTGGGAAAAGAGAAATCTCGTTTTATGAAAATTTACAAATATCTCAAGATCCTGTTATGTTACAATTGAAAAATTATGTTCCAAGATATTACGGCACAACAGAGTTGCAAATTTTTGGCAGACGTAAGATATCAAAAGTATCGAATTTTTAACTTGTCTACATATAATACTCTTACATTTTTCATCCTCCCTTAATTCTATTTTTCATATATTTTTTATGATCATAATTGTATTAAAAAATCATTTTAAGTAGATAAAAGATGAAAGATGATATATTGTCAACGATATTGTTTCTCGAGACCAAGATATGTAATTATTTTTTCGCAGTTAAAGATAAATATTTAAAAAATGAATGGTTGAATAATTTTATAAAATGAACACGTAAACTGATAAAATGAAATTTTTTTAAAAAATTATTTCTTTTTCTTTTTTTTACAATTATTGGTATTTTTTACAAGAAATAATTCTGACTTAAATATTTTTTTATTTATATCCTGTACGAAGCAATTGGAATATTGAATAATTTTGTTTATCTTTAACGATAAAGAAAATAAATAAATATTTTGCTTTTTATCGACTCTCCTGCGTAAAATAGAAGATAGATTGTATTCTATATTAATAGAAATTCGACGCTTAGCATATTGTTAATTTACCATGCATGTATTAATAAGTATTAAAGAGTTTATCCCAAGATTCTCTACCTACACTTAATTGCTGAAAAATCTCGGTTACGTACAGTTTAACACAACATGATTAATCATTTTCGTAAAATATTAGGAGTAACATTCCTTACGCTGAAAGATATTACCGATGGTATGGCGGAACCGTGCGTGATGGATATAAAAATAGGTAGACGAACGTGGGACCCTTTAGCCACGCCAGAGAAAAAAGCAACGGAAGAATTAAAATACGCCGAATCTAAACGCACTTATGGATTCTGTATAACCGGCTTTCAAGTATATTGTGTTTCTTCCGGGCAATTAAAACAATTTGGCAAACATTACGGCAAGACTCTCGATGCTAAAGGTGTCGTGGAAGGTATATTATTAACTTCAATTATTATATAGGGCATATACACAGTATTATGAATTTACGAATTATCGCTAGTGTTATAATTGAAATGTTTTTTTAATGTTTCATTAGTCACGTACATATAGTCGTATAAGTGGTATACATATCACTATTGGATCATATGAGGAACGATTGTAATGAAACGCTGGAAGCCGTTTCCAGAACACTTTAAATAATTCACTTTTTTTTATTCAAACTATTCCATATAGTGCCTTTTCTTTCCTGCGCAGCGCTGAAAATCTTCCTGAATATAAGTCCAGAAAGACCGCCCTGTCGTCAATTGATCGTGATGCTGCTCTCTTTCTTGTGGAAGATCTTACTATTCTTTCGTATCCAGCGGTTGTTCCGCTTTTATTCTAGTTCTTTGTTGGTGGCATATGACGCGAAAAGATTGCGGCATTATCTCCGCCTAAATAACATGAATAAATTACCCAGCCACGTATCCACGTCATTTTCCTCCACAAATAACCATACAACTACATCGAATGTGTTCAAACACATGAATGACGCGACAAGTAATTCAGTTTCGAATAATATCGAGACTAATAGGAATCGGACGATGGAAAGGGTACATTTTATTAAAAGGAGCATCAGCTTGAGCGGCGAGTACGATTCATCAGGAAAGGAGAAAGCTCTGAGCAGAAGCGAATCGTGTAGTCCGGACTTTAGAGTTGATCGGCTCTGTCGTACGCATTCTTATGTCAACAACTTTGATGACGACATTATAAGAATCAAGGAGGACTACGATGATTTATTGAACGAGCTCACTAGTTCCATGGAAGAGAAACAAAATTGGGTTAGAATTAATATGATTGACTTTACGCATGTCTTCCCAGCAGAGGATCAAAATACTCTGGATTTAAATTATTTAGAAGGAATCGAGAACTTGATCAAACTTGTGGAGATGTTCCTGATCTCTAAGGATATCACTGCATGAACTATATGTATTTATTGCAACGTAGGAAGTTGTTGTTACAAATTTTCTTTTAAATCGCAATACGAGATGTTATATAATTGTATTTTATATTCTTTAATAAAATTAGATTGATTTTTGACGTTAGGTCAGTGATAAACCGAAAGTTGTAAACTCGTGATAATGCCATGCACATTTACCGTGTGAATTAAAGTGCGAGATTAGGAACGTTTCGTGAAAGCTTATCAATTCTTATGCAACAGTCCTAAACGAACAGTAAAAATCAATTTATCGATATATATATATATATATATATAAAGCTTTCACGAAATGTGTCTTATGTATCCGTAATTGGATATAATATGGAAACATTGAAAACTGAATGTTAATTATTTCGCACCAAATATAACAACATTTATAATGCTCTCATTTTTCGGTGTACCTTCACTTGTCGATATTCCACGTTATTAAAGACCATTATTCGTTGGTTTTACATACATGGTCGTACATATATGTATATTCGTCATTCACGCAACGATTGTTGTAGTCATTGATTGTTCGTATTAATTCGTATCATTTCTTTTCTTATGTTCTTATCACGCAAATAAGATTCTATAACCATACTTACTAAACACAAAAATTGTTATGTTAATATAAATACAAAACATACAAGTGTTAATGTAACGTTTGAATGTTTTTCTTTTTACCCTTTGAATAAACTCACAAATACTGATAAAAGAAAAAAATTGTCTTACGATTCTTTCAAATTCTATTTATAAAAATATATATAATATATATATATATATATACGTGAGAGAGAAAAGATTAAGAATATGTAATTATTATGAAAAAGTTTAATAATTCAATCATATCTGTATATGATCTTCGTCCAATAAAAATTTATTTTATCCCTGGAAGAAATTAGATTGAAAATTGTCTTGATCAATTAAGGAATTGGTAATGTATGTTATTATTGGAAAATTGAAAATTATAATTAAGATGCGTTTAATAAATGAATTATTTTATTTTAAAAAGAGTATATAAGCATTTATATCTATTTACTTTGAAAATTAGAAAAAGGGCAATAGCTTTCATTTAAATAAGAAATGAATGAAAAAAATTTGAGAGAAATATTATACTTATTTTTACGAATGAAAATAAAATTAAATAATTTTATTGTCCAACAAATCTTAAATTTAATTTTAACAATAAAATCTTTATTTTAATATAAAAATCTAATTTTTAATTTTTAATTTTTAATTTTTAAGTTTTCTATAAAATAATAATAATATTGATATATTAAATTACAAAAAATAATTACATAATTGTTACAACTTATTAAAATAACTTATTAAAATAAATAAAAAAATATTAAGTAAAAATATTAAGTAGTTATCTAGTGAATATGTGTGAATATTATATATTATATTTTTATCATTTCAATTTTTTTACATTTCAATATTCATTTATTTCATTTTAATATTTAATATTTTAATATCATTATCATTTTAATATTTTCTGAATTATATTCATATTTTAAATCTCAATTTTAAATTTAACTTAATTTCTCAATTTTTTTTAGTTTATATTTAATTTTCGCACATCCCGTTTTAAATGATATACTATGTAATAATAACGAACTCTATTTTATCTAATGTCGATAACAAAATGTTCAAACGAATTTTTAAATTCGATTTTCAATGTTTATATTTGAAATATCACAGACAAGATACATAATTGATTTGAATAAATCTAATATTTAATGCATTTTTTTATCCTATATCTCGAGAACACTACGATCTTACTTTTTTCTCAAATCGATTCGATTCAAAATAAAATCATAATGATTCAATGGTTTGAGTTCAAATTAAATTTTAATATAAAAATTATAATTGTTTATTTAAATAAAAATTTATCGCAATGACTAAGTGGCATTTTGCATCGAAACATTATCGCAATATATATCAAATTATATATATTATATTTTGTGAGATCATCATTTTAAAAATACATTATAATGAAATATAAATAATAATAATAATAATAAAATTATATAAATAATTAAGACATAATTTAAAAAAAAAAATTATAAAAGTGTATTCGATTACCTTTTTTATATTTTATGTGTGATCATGCACTAAAAACAAGTATAGATAAGAAGAGTAATTATTGGGACAGAGATAGGATAAAAATATTGAAATCAATTATCTTCAACATATCATTTTAGAATATCATAAAAGAAATACATAAATAAAGGAAAGAACAGCATAATAATAATAAAAAAAAAAAGATACAATACGAAAGACATATCTTCAAAGGCAAGATAAAATAAAGTAAGAATTGAAACTTAGCGCCATCTTTTGAATACTTTTAGAGATATCTTAAAAATAGTAATGTCTTCTAAATATCTTAAAAACGTATCTTCTAACGTCTTTTCTAATTATCTAGTTATAATTAAAATAAAATATATTTTAAAAATATATTTTATAAATAAAACAACCTGAAAATATTGTGATTTATAAGAAAAGTAATTTAATGGACGTATTTAAGACGCTTTTAAGAAATTCTTATATTATTTAGATTGTATATATAATGCTTCAAAAATTACTAAATATTTTTTTATAATAGATTAAACAGTATATATGAAAACTTTTTAAAGAAATATAATTTATTATAAATTGTAAATGTAAATTATAATTTATAAGAATATATAAAAGACTTTCTGTTTAATCAATTAAATTGTTCGTGATTTCATGCACAAATGGGTACGTAATACATGAAATTTATATAACAAATAATGGTAAAAGTAATTAAAATGCTATAAATTTTATTTTATTATTACATATTTTATCGTTACGTACTTGATATATGCTGAGTATTAAATTTAATTTTCCACATTTAATATTTTTAATAACAAAGTCACAATCGCGGCCATTATGAATATAAGCAACGTCATAGCTTCAGTAAAGGAATTTCAGAACACGATAGTTGAACGTGGTGTAAATTTTCATCTCAGAGTGTGCGTAGATTAGTCGATTCCTTTTACGAAATTACATCTCTTGGTTCGTATTTTATGACAAATCTTTATAACGTATTATAGAGTAATACATACGAAAATGTTCTATGGCTAATGAAAACTAGTCATGAATTTCGGAACTGTAGAATGTCCGTTGCGTAGATCAAAAATAATATACACTACAGGCGCCATTACGTTGCGCCATCTGGATATCATTACGAAGAAATTATATTAGCTAGAGTTTGGAAAAACTTTTGAATAACGTTATTACTCTTTCTGATTAGGAGTATTGTATAGTAAAATTAACGAATTTAAAAACTAATATAACGCATAGTAATTACATTTGCGTTATGATTCATTATAGGAGTACGTACTCCTTATGATTATATTCACTTAACCTCAATTTGAATGAAAAATGAATACCTGTGACTATGAATACATAATTTTATATTTGTCTTACGGTGATAATAAAAAAATTCAATCTTTTTTGAAAAAGAAAATCGAAAATTTTTTTAATTTTGCAAGAAAAGACGTGAACTTCAAGAGCTTGAAAATATCAATAACGACGGTATTTTACAAGTAACAATAACATATATTATCTAGTTTAACTAATTTTTATTACTTTTTAAATCAATAAAGTTATATTAATAGGATGTGCTATATGTAATAATTTTATAAAAAATTTAAAAAAATAATAAGTATCATAATCACAGCATGCACAAGTAATGTTACAAGGATTTTCATTTTTACATAAAAATCAGGTAAATGAAATATATTTATCTTTATTAATTAATGTATTAGATTTTATTAATTTTTTATTACTTTTTTCCTTAGGTTATACAAATTTTTTAAATATAAATTTAAAATACAATGGAAATATTTTAAATGACTAGATCAAAAATGCAGCACACTGAAATTAAAAACAAGGATCATAATTATAGTGAAGTGAAATTGCATAACCTTCAACATACCGGTAGTAATATTCAAAATGCGTATGACAATGATATTAGAACAACTTATAAATCAAACAAATCTGGTATAGTATCAAACAAAGAAGTATTTGGTCAGATTAAAAATATTAATGAATTAAAGAGAATAACACCACGTGTAAAATTATTGACTCATGATGCAAATAGTTTAAATGAATTAACTAAAATTTCTTTGCACAATAAAATATCTGCACAAAAGAAATTATCGATATTGGAACAAACAAAACAGGAATTAAGAAAATATTGTAGAACTTGTGCTGGTTTAAAACTTCCATTAGTTGATATTTTTAGTGAAAAAGGTAATCAAATGAGATTAAGTCAACAAATAAAACATTTGGAAGAAATTAATCCATATGATAGTTTATCAACTCAAATGTGTATGGATTGTATTTGTGACTTAAAAATGAGTTATAAATTTTTTATGCAAATTAAGAAAGCAGAAGTCAAATTAAAATCTATTCATATTACTTTGACTGATACAGCAACAAAGAATATAGAATTAAATAAAATTCAACCTATAGGAAGTTTTGAAAAACAAACAGAGAACATTGTTGAGAGTATTGCAACAAATCCATCTACAAGTAAAGAAAATAATGAACATGCTTCTGTACCAAAAATATCTGCAATCTTTTCGTTAAAAAAAAATGATCAAGAACTTTCAAAAACTGGAAAAATAAATCTTGAAAAATCAGAAAATAAAGCTGAACTCGAAATTTTTGAAGATTCAACTATTCTACAAAACAGTGATGATAATGAATCTATAGAAGAGTTTGATCCAGATGATCCTCCTTTTCAACCTGATAGTTCTGATGTTGCAGATTCTGATGATGAAGTAGTAATACCAAATGCAAAAAGACGACATTTTCAGCAGAAAGAAAACATCAAACAAAGTTCACAGTCAATTTTTGTTTCTGATAATAATTCAATATCAGATAATAAAAATATTGATTGTAATCAAACAACATATAATTATGATACACGTCTAAAAACATATATTAAAATAGAAGATACAGAGAGTAATAATCAATCTATTGAATCACATAGCATCATTAATTCTGAAACTATATATAATACTGAAAGTACAAAAGAATGTTCAAAACAACCAAACATATTAAAGCGCAGATTATTATTGCAAAATAAAAAGGGATCCATAGAAGAAACTGATGAAAATATTTGTCAGTCCAATATTTCTGATAAAACTGGAAGTCATAAAGACTTAAAAGTACAAAAACTAGATGTTAATAATTCTTTAAACATTAACAGCAATCAAGAAGATGGGATTATGTATGTTACTGTGAAAGGATCTAAACCAAATGAGATATTGTTAGTGAAAGTTAAAAAAATGGATAAACCATTGGAAAAGAAAGATGATAAATCTACATTGAAGAAAAATTTTGACATTAAACCAATGGACAAAATTTTAAAAAGATATGAAACATTAGTTACAAAAGAAAAAGATTTATTTTCGGAACGAACAAAAAAATCAGAAATAAGAGAACAGATTATAGAAGAGCAAATAGAAGAATATAAGAAAAAACGAGAAAAAGTATTAGGTGGACATGCTAATATTTCGCATCCTTTAAAACTTGAAGAATCTCAAACTCGTTATTTTAAGCGTAATGAAAGGCAAGATAATCAAAGTTCTTTTGCACATATAGAAAATGATACTGTTATAGATATACAATTTAATAAAGATGATAATGAATTTAATGAAAATGTTAAAATTGAAGATGATACTTCAGAAATTATAGAATCAGTCAAGGAAAAATCTACTAATGAAAATGCTTATGTAAATACTGAAGAGTATTTATCGCGTTTAGCAAAACTTAAGTTGAAATGGGAAGAAGCAAAAAAGAAAAAAGAATCTCTTCAAAAAGAATTAGATGAATCATATACGGAAGGAAATATTGAAAAATTAACAAGAATTTTAGGAGAAAAAGAAAAAAACTTACAAGATTTTCAAGATTATTTAAAACAAAGTAAAATTGTAATTACAAGATTAAAAGATGAGGATATTATTTCTCTTTATGAAGATAGAAATAATGCAGTGCTTAAAAATAATTTACCTGATTTGATAGATGAAAGTCAACCAGCAGATTATATTCCAGAGGAACATTATTTAGAATGTGATTATTGTCCAGAAACATTTGCTTCAAAAGAAGTTCTTGAAGAACATTTGAAAATGCATGACTATAAAATTATGCATTTTTGTGAAGATTGTATGGAAGAATTTCCAACAAATAAAGCAAAACGCAATCATAATGTAATTTGTATAAAAAAATTATTATGTAAATATTGTGACATGATGTTAGATTCAAAAGGAAAAAAACGTCAACATGAACAAAAACATTGTGACAGTATGTATGGACAATTATGTGATGTATGTGGTGAAAAGTTTAAACATCAAGGAACATTAGATCAACATGTAAAAACACAACATATGAGTTGGGAAAAAATATATCAATGTCCAAAATGCCCTAAAAAGTTTGCATTCAAACAAAAACTCAGTTTTCATTTGAAATCTGTACACACAACATTAAGAGCCTATTTGTGTGAAGACTGTGGAGCTGATTTTAAAAATCCTGCAAGTCTTAGACATCATAGAATACGTAAACATCAACCTGTAGGTAATAAAAGAGAATGCCCTGTTTGTCATAAATTAGTACCATTTTATAGTCTTTCAAAGCATATGCATACTCATAAAGCATATACTATCCAGTGTCCACACTGTGATAAAATGTTTAAAAATAGTTCAACTTTGAAACAACATGTAAGAATTCATGAAGATCAACGTCAATATCGATGCGATACTTGTGGTGTTGGATTTAATAGACGAGATGGTTTAAGATTACACATGAGAGTGCATGAAAAAACTGATAGTAGAGGATTAAAAGAATGTTCATGTCAAGTATGTGGTGAAAAATTTCCAAATCATTCAACACTTGTTATACACAGAAACAGAGTTCATAAGGATGGTAGACAATATACATGTCATATATGTAATAGATCAATGATTTCAACTAGATCATTAGAATGGCATATGTCTCATATACATAATGAATTGCTTCCTGGTGTTGTAAAGGAAGATATAGATGGACCGCCAGAAAAGAAAAGGGCATCATGTTATCATTGTAATAAAACATTTAAAACAGAAATGATTTTGAGGACACATATTAAAAATACGCATATGGAAAAAGATCCTATGAAATGTTTAGATTGTGAACTAACATTTACATCTGAAGTAAGATTAAGACATCATATGATGGTCACACATAATAGATTAGAAGGAACTTTGCCATGTCCACATTGTCCGAAAAGATTTGTAAATCAACTCAGATTAAAAACTCATATGATATCCCATTCTGAAGAAAGGCCATACACTTGTGAAATCTGTGGATTTAATTTAAAGACTAAAATACAATTGATTAAGCATCATCAAAATAGACATAGTGATGAAAGACCTTTACAGTGTAGATATTGTCCTTGGAGATGTAAACAAGTTAGTGCTCTTGTATGTCATGAGAGAACTCATACAAATGAACGACCATATTCTTGTAGTGTGTGTAGACAACGTTTTAAATATTTAGGTGATAAAAATAAACATGAAAGGCGACATGAAAGTTTAGGAGGATCTGGATTTAAAAGAATAGTACTTGGTCGAAATATTAAAGCTAAAGTACAAGAAGATTCTTCTTGTTCTGAGCATGAACAAGAAGTCTTAGCTAATACAGAGCCTCAAGTTCCTGAAAATGAATATCAAGAACAAACGGATCAACAATTTGAGGAGGAACAAATAGTTAAGTTCGAAGAAGAACAAATAGTTAAATTTGAAGAAGAACAGATAGTTAAATTTGAAGAACAAGAAATAGCAGAGGAATACGAACAAGTATATGAACAAGTAAATATAATTTTTTTTTTTATAATTTTATTTTATTTTTATTAAATTAACTTTTTATATATATTATATAACTTTTTATATACATTTTATTAGGAATATGAAGAAACATCCAGAGAGGCTTCGGATGCAGCAGAAGTTATAATGAATATGGAAGATACAACTGTTTATACTGAAGAAGTAACTGCAGATAATATTGAATCTGCAGAAATTATGGCAGATGAAATGATGACAAATGAAATATTACAATCAGGTGCTGTAGTTCACTTGCAACAAGAAGATGATTCAGGAAAAATACAAGTGATCCCAGTGATGTTATCTTTACCTGATTTAACTGATGCAAATACAGAAGTCAATTTAGCTACTGCATCTATTATGTATAATAATTGAATTCAATTTCGCATTTTATATTTGCGATATGCTTTGTATAAAAGAATGATTTTTACAGTTTTATTGTGGTAATCGTACATTTAAAAAAAATGTTTATTTGATATAAATAAGTAGGGGTTAAATCACATTCCTATAGACCCAATTTCAGAATATTCTAAAATGTATATTTACTTTCAGTATATATAGGTTTCATTATGTTAAAATATTAATTATGTATCCAAAGGGCAGAATAGTTATCTGCTGTCAAAATAGCAGTTTTGTAAGATTAATTTACTGTGTGAAAATACTTATTAAAACCAATTTAAGATTGTAAAAAGAATGATATAACAAATTTTATCTTCATAATGTTTTTCGATACAAAATTTTCGTTTAACTATATAAAATAAATAAAAATATCTGTAGTATGATATATAAAATATTTTGTACAAATCTATAAAAAATGAATAAGTATTTTATTTGATAATGCAAATACAAAATTTCAAGATTAATAAAATTAACATTGTTCATAACCACATGTCTACTTATAAATTGTTTGTGATTTAAATTCATTTACTTTTTGCTTTTTCATTACTAATACTTTGTTACCTATTTATTTATACTTATATTATAAGTATTCTTTGTTTTTTAATTTGTAAAGGACTGGAAATATTTTTAAAAAAGTCATGCATTTTATAGTTATAAAGAATAGTAAATTAAGGAATCGTCAAATATTTTTGATTTTTTCAATAATTTTTTTGCATAACTTTATACAAAAATATTTTTCCAATCTGTCAAATATATTTATATATATTTTTAATATAATTTTGTATGGTTAACTATTATAGATTTATTATAGACTTTTATATATTATATAATGCTCAAGAGTTAATATTTGTTTCTTTCTTTTTTTTTTTTTTTTTTTTTTTTTTTTTTTTTTTTGGTTTTATGATAATAATTTCTCATATCATAATAAATTAGAAATTTTTACTAATAAAAACTGTACTTCTTTATTATTAAAATATAAAAGTACAGTCAAATTGATATATTTATATACAATTAAAATTTTTGTATACATTTCATTGAAAAATTCATTATTGTGACTACTATACAGGTAAAAGATAATTTTTTCTGAAAAAATAAAAAAAATTTTAATACATATTTTTCATTCGAAATTTCATTTTTGAAAAAATCGATTTTAAAAATTATTCAGATATGCAAAGGAAGTATAAAAACTTGGCTATTCTTGCCATTTCATTATGCCATTCTATTATTTTTGTTTACATTAGTATTTATAAACATAATAATAATTTTGTAGGTTGAAATAGCAAAAAGTGTTTCTGGATATTATTTATTATTTATTTAATTAGAATTAGTTAAAAATCTCCGTTATCGCATACATAATTTTTTTCTAATGAAAAAAGATGATTGAATATAATGAAATTTTACAAATTACATTATTTTTTAATATTTCAAAAATTTTTTATTTTATTTATTGTTTATTACATATTGATTATCTATTTTTTGTTTTTTTTATATATAAATAATGGTAAAGAGATATAAGAAATGAAAATAAAGAGTTTACATTAAAATTTAGCAACTTTGATGACCAATATATTTTTTCCACCATAATCGATCTATCACAAATACTTTTACTTTAGGAAATTTATTGTTTTTTTAAAGTATTAAAGTTTTGTTGTAATAGAAAATATAAAAATAAAAAATAAATAATCCAAAAAAACACTTTTTGTTATATATTACTAATCATATTATCATCAGTGCTTATAAACATTAATTTGAATAGAAACAATTAATAACGATAATATGTAACTAAAAAATTATATTCATTGAAACTGTTTATAAATTTTCAAAATTAATTTTTTTTCAAAAAATTTTATATCAATTTTTTTTCTTATAGAATCATTATTAACTTATAGTATGATTATCGGTTCATACTGAATATTGCATAATTATTAAAACTTTTACGAAATATATTTTTTTATTTATCATATATTATAATAAATCATATATTCACATATTTTAATTTTTCAATTTTAACTTTTATTCATTTTCCTATGCAATCAAACTTTTATAAATTATATTTTTAAATTATAATTGTATTTTATTGTAGTAATAAAAAAATTTGAATAATAAGTATTTCTATACTTAAAATATTTTACAGATATTTATTCTAATTATATTTTTCTATATCTTGTTAAATTAGATATAACTTTTTAATATAGGGAAATATACATCTTTTAAATACAATAATAAATCATATATTATATATATTATATATATTTTTATAAAATTCTTATGAAGAAAATACAATTGAATTTTATATAAAATAAAATTAACGTATATATTATACGTTAAGAATAAATAAATATATATATATATATATATATATATATATATATATA